TTTGCTGTTTCTTTGCTTCGTCTCGCCCAGCCCCTTTTCCCCTGAACATTTGTTTTGTTTTTCCTTTAAGGAGGAGAATAACCCTCCTATTTTTGTTTACACCATTTGCCTGTGCCCAGTAGTCGTCACTCACACCACGACCCCATACCTCTGGTCGGCCGCGTTCATCAGAGCTCATGTTTGCAGAGGTTGCGCTCCCTCACACCTAGACTAAAGGAGACGTAACACATACACCAACCAAAATCTAACAACACAACTTCTTGTTTGCCTCATGCATGTGAAGCCTCATCTGCTCTGAGCCATGTTTTAGGCTCCTGCTCACAAATTAAAATGTCAGTTTAGCCTGAAATAAAAAGCACTTTCAGAATGATGACCCCTTTTTGCGTTACATTTAAGTTTAAGTTTCAATCCGTTATCAAATCATAGCACAATATGTTAACATTCTCTCTGCAAAAGTTCAGTTAAAAAAAGGGATTTTTTTTTCTCCATTTCTTTTATTTAACTTGGGGTGATTTGTCGTGTCAACTTTGTTTCATTCTGTCAATTTGGATGTTGTGAATCTGTTCAATCAATCAATCAATCAATCAATCAAAAAAAACATTGGTCCAATCTCTTTTGGCTGAAACTTTGAAACATGCTGTAGTCTTATGTTAAGTGAACGTTTTAGCTGTGTCTCAAAGTCGCTAAGCTGCATCCTTAAGGACGCATGCGTCCTGTAAGATATTTGTACGCTCTTCATTAGGTACACAAAGCCACACCCTGGATTGGTCGCCAGCCAATCGCAGGGCTACACAGAGACATACAACCATCCACACTCACATTCACACATCTACGGGGAATTTAAAGTCCCCAATTAACCTGATGCCCAGAGCATGTCTTTGGACTGTGGGAGGAAGCCGGAGAACCCGGAGAGAACCCACGCAGACACGGGGAGAACATGCAGACTCCACACAGAAAGGCCACTGGGCGGAATCAAACCCAAGACCTTCTTGCTGTGAGGCGACAGTGCTAACCACCAGGCCACCGTGCCGCCCCACATAACTTATTCCATGAATGCTAATTTTTTCAAAGCTTACAATGTTTCGCTTTTTCTGTTGGATTGAACTGACCGGTATATATATATATAACACAATACAGAGTAATGTCTCCTGAGTTGGTCCTGCTGCCGCCAGAGGGCACTATTGTCCTTCCTCCCCACAGACCACTCTACATGGTGAAATCTGTTTTTTTTTACTGACTGGAAATGTTCTGAACTTTCCCCCAAAATTCAAGAGTTGACAATCAAATAATTTCTGTGATGTTTATCCCTAGATTTCATAATGTTGTATACAGATGTAGTAAAACAAAAACAAATGTTTTGCCCCCTCAGGCCTTCGTGCCTCTGTTGAAACAAGCTGCGTCTAGAGGAGGACCCGGCATGAGCCTCTAGAGGGCAGCGGTCTTAAACATGGCGGCTCTGCTGGGTTCTGTGGAGCTCAACTGGGGCGACCGGTCCAACATCATCAAATAGTACCCCTACAGGACGTCCAAGGTATTGCACCAATGGACATCCATAGTTGCTTGATGCCAATTGATGAACAAAAGTATGTCTGTCAATGCATGTACGACATGTCAACTCTGCTTTGATATGAACCGAGACAGGAAGCTTGGTCTATTTTAAATGGTTGGATATTTAATTCCTCGCCGGCTAAGTGAAAGGGCATCTAAAGCAGTGATTCTCAACTGGTGGGACCTGTTTTTAATGGGTCGCAGGCCTTTGCCTGGGAAAATAAAAATTAGAATAAAATAAAAAATTCATCCTGTGATTTTATTTTGAAGGGACTTTTTTTAATGCAGCGGAGTGTCGGTATTTTTTTTCCCGACTCGTCCGTCCATTTTTTCAGCAGCGTGTGCCAAGTTTATTTAATTTATTTTCAATTTGTGCAAAATCTGCTCCTCAAGACATAGTGTTTGTCATATTTGTTATAATGACCTGACTCACATCTGAGTCAGGTCATTATAACAAATATGACAAACACTATGTCACTATGTCATTTGTGTCTTTTTTTGATTTTTTTGTTTGTGCATGAAAGCTGTTGATTTTGTTTGAAATGGCTGAAGATTCTTAATTGTTATGTATGTTGCAATACCTCGTTTCCCCATGGTACACTTTGGTTTTTTTAGCTAATTTAGTGTAAAAGGGAATAGTTCCCTCTCTAGCATCGCTACCAGCTGGCTGTTTTGTTTTTTCATTAAACTTGTTGTTGTGTTGGCATACGTATTCTGTCTCCATACTATCTCAGGTAGTATTTGGGTCGCGGCTTGTCATTAAGGGGTGATGGTGGGTCCCGGAGCCAGAGAACCACTGGTCTAAAGTACTCTTCTGTTTGAACTTTTTCGAAGGACAACTTTGTTGTTGTTTTTTTAAGAATAAATGTGCGATATCAGCCGATCTTTCCACCATCTCCAAAGGGATCAACTGTTGTCCAGAACTGTACCGCAGCAGGTTTCACATGTGCATTGTTTGTGTTTACTGGCTCAGAGCGCCCTGAACATGGTGAGTTGCTGTATGGCTGTAGACCTGGAGCCTGATGGGATCCTCTGTATGGTCATACATCCTGGCTGCGTTTGCACCGACATGGGGGGGTCCTGAGGTAAGAGCCAGACACGTCCAACTCCATCCGCTGCTTTGTGAGATTTAGTCATACTCATGAGCTGTTGTTGAGAAGAAATGTGTGTGTGTGTGTGTGTGGATCATTGTATTGACATTTCCAAGAAGTGTGTCTTGAATAACATTACATGTCTCTTTTCAGGCCTCACTGAGTGCGGAGGAGAGCGTCTCTTCCCTCCTGTCTGTGATTGGAGGACTGACTGAAAAGGATCACGGGTTGTTTCTGAACTTCACCGGGGACATTTTGCCGTGGTGATTCCTTTTTCATCAGCACGTCCAGCCGATCCTGATGGCTATATATTTGATTATGATCGTCTAGTGAAACAAGCAACGTTGAACGACTTAAACTTCACGTTAAATTTTTTTAATCCTACATATTTTGAGGGTCCATATGCACACAGAATACAGTTTGAAAAGTTCGGCCCTACATTTCCATGAGTGTATCTTTCAGTAAAGGAGGTCAAAATATACACATGTTTATTCTTGTTTATTTTGTCCTAAACTGTTCGACTTGTAGTAAGTTGTCCACGTTAAACAGCATTCCTTCTTTTACAATCAAAGTAGATGATGTCGTACGAGGAAGTTTTGTCAAAATGTTTTTCTTCCTCATTCTCGAAGCAGTAAGTTAAGTTTGGGCTTTACTCATAAGAAGACCTCGGTGTCCCAGCAGGGTCACCCAACGTATTGTTGTGTTTGTTAAAGATACGTTTCCTGTTTCCCATCGTGCATCTCTTTCAGCATGCAGTCCCGCAAAATAAAAGGTGACCAGTCTGAGATAATGAGAACAATAAAAGCGTAAAGGAAGGCAAATTACATTTAACGTCCTTTGCGTGTGCCAGTTGACCATGTTATTGTTACTTCACAGCACCTGCTGGTTTGGGTACAGGTGCACGAGAAAGCAGAGCGCTCTACTTAGAAAATGAACATATCGAACAAACTTATAGGTTACGTAGGTGAAAAACCAATGCTCTCTGTGTCGTGTATTAAGATAACGGCGGGGGCAGAATTCTGTGTATACGGGGGCAGTTCTAGTGCTTCCTGGCTGCAGGCGCCCGGCTCCATTGTTGAAGCCATCTGACCGCAACACAGGAATCTTTAAGAGCAACAGAGCTGAAGAAGAGGGCATGCCATTCAGATCTAATCAAACCAGTTTGCCTAGACTGCTGTGCAGGAAGTCCTGTGCTCTGTGTGTGGAGAGCGAGAGGAGAGAGGCAGTGTGCACACAGCGCCTGCAACAATGAGGTGTCGTGCTAACTAGTTATTTTGTGTTTGTGAGAGAGCCCTGCATTCACTGTGTGGGAAGATTCTTGCATTCCTGAAGGACAAGATGAACTTGTCATCACTTGCTACAGGTAAATGTTTTTTGCGTGTTCATGTTATTTTTGTTTAATTTTTACGTCCTGAGCTCATTCTTGTGTGTTTTCCCAACCTCTTTTGTGTTAATTGGAATGCTACTTACAATTTTGTAGGCTTTCTCCTGCAAGGTCCGTGTTGATTTGCATGCAGTGAGAGCAGGATGTGCTATTTGACTAAACCGTTCTCTGATAGCAGATAATCATCTCTTTCTGAACATGACACGGTTGTACCAGTTCTATTTACCTAAAAGAATAATCGGACTATTAACGTAAAGCTATTTTTTAAACAATTGATGTGCAGAGGCCATGGATTTACTTTTAGGTTCAATCCCAATGTCCCGTCGCTTCCCCCCCCCCACACCCACCCTCAAACGCTGAGCCCTGGACCCACCTGGAAAGTAGTTTTACTGTGAGAGTCGGTGAGAGTTTGAAATGGTGTGAATGCAAACGGGTCACTGCAACATGTCACTTTACCATGACGACGTAAATAAATGTAGAATCGAGCGTATTTATTTCATGCTTTTTAGCTAATGTTTCACTCATTTGAATGCCCTCCAGCCTCTTTGCTCCTAAGGTAAGAGGTCAACAGTATTTAACTTTTTTTTAAATGGCTTGAATTAAATGTGATATTTGATGAACAGATGAGTAAACATCACTTGATTTTGTGAGGTTTTTTTTCTGTCTTTAATCCCTAATGTTTTGAATGTACACCTTTTAGTATGAGTCTGTACACGCTCTTTTTTTTTTTGCTGTGTGCATAGTTGTCATATGCAGCTGTAACGCTGACGTGAACCTGCAAGTCTACATGGCTGCCAACAGACCCATTCTGTGGTCGCAGAGCTCTCTAACCTACATCCGAGTGCCCTCATCCGCCTCTGTCATTTTGCAGAGGCATATTTTGGCCACATGCAGCTGGAGGGTGAGAAGTAGACCGATGGACTATCCGGCCAACGAGAGGCTGCTGTCGACTGCTGGAGACCTGAGAATGCCGTTCTCAGACACGGTCAAGTACTCCATCCTGGGCATCTCGGTCGCTCTTCTTCTGCTGGCGCTGGGCATCTTGGTGTGGCAGGCCTTCAGGTGCTGCACCACAATCACCCGGCAAGATGCTGGTGAGTAGATCGGATTACGGTACATATTGCCGATGGCAGGTATCTGACCAAGAAAGTTTTTACCAAATGCATTCAGGGAGTTCTGGTCTTTCCAAAGCCATCCTCCCTCCGCTTCTTCCCTTTTGTTCCAATGACAGATTTTTGTCTCATTGATTTTTACTGCAGTAAACAGGGATCTGCTGTGCTCAGTCGAAAAGTCAAGAACGAGGAGAAGCTACTCAGGAGCTCCATGCACTAGGGTAAGACAAATAGATAGGAGAAGTGTGGATAGAATGAGTTCTCTATTAAGGGAAACGGATGTTGTTATGACCTTAATGTAATTTGTAGGCTGTGACCGCCATATTGAATCCGGTGGCCCAGAGTTCAAAGCAGCCCCCTAAACTGTACAACAAAGGTTATGACCCCTTCACTACTTCCTATCTCTGTATTTACAGCATCCTTGGGCATAACCCACCACTTCATATGAAAAAATGCTAACTCAGCCTCTTGCCACACTGCAAGATGTCTTTATTGACGATTTCTATCCTGGCATTGATGAGATTAACTGCAGTATTATTATATCAGCGAGAGGAAGCAGTGTTGATCTACTATAACTCAGTCACATTTTATTTGGATAGTCAACTGTTTACTTCGTATCGACTGACTTGTGTGGCTGAAGGTCCTGCTGCGTGTAAAGGTTTTTACTGTATTTGGACCGTTTTTAAATACACTCTACGGTTACCAAGGTTAATGTTGGACTTGTGGAAGAAAAAAAAAATAAAGAGTTGAAGTTAAAGGCTGGATTCAAGGTGTGCCGGATAATACAATTATGACAAAGTGTTCATGACTTATCAACATTAAAAGTGCCCATTGTAGATTTATCTGTACTTTTTAATAAAATGTTGTTTGTAAAATATGATGTTATAATGTCGGGCGTTTTTGGAGTCTTTGGAGATGTTCTAGATATGCCACATTGTCTATGTAAATAAAGATTAGGCTGAACTTGTTCAAACAAAGGATTGTTGATGCTCTTCACAAGTCAAATAAAAGCTGGAGGTGCCACAGTGACTAGCAACACTGGCAATGTGATGCATGCTCCCCAGATGGAGAATGTCAGCACAGAGGTCCGCAGGCTGAGCCGCTGTCTGTCGGGGGCCTCGTATCCCACCTCGGAATCCAGACAGGTGGACGGAGAGGAGCAGGACACCATTAAAAAGGTAGCACATTACTGTGTGACCCAGTCGTGAAAAGGAATCAACAGTTTTCAGTACTTGTATTCTCATTCAAAAGGCATGGGCAAATTTTGTCTTCAAAAACTATTAAAAATGTGTTTTTTACTATAGTACAAGCTGTCATGGATTAAATTGCTTATGAGCATCCTAAATTGAAGAAACTATGAGACCTTTTTCTTATTTATCAAGTTTAAAGGGAGGCTTATGCAGTTTTTGGAGGTTCTAATAGGGTAATCATCCATCTATCATGTCTGATAAATAGCACACTAACTGGATTCATCACACTGTGTTGTTGAAGTGTGTTTTTCTATTGACTATGCTACAGCCGTGCAGCTCCGTGAGGTTATACACAGAAACAAATGAGATTTTAGCTAAATTTGAACCTTAGCAAAGGGGCATTAAGGGGGTTGATACATAGATTGACTTTTTTGTCACTGGAGGAGATTAGCTTTCACATGTTACACATACTGAATCAGTTCTCCGTGCCTTTGCTATGGGCACTATGCTATATCATTAGACACATCGGGTTACTTGTGTCTTCCCTAACACGTCCTCTTGTTACCAGGTCGATGGAACGATTCGTTTTTCCATCTATTATGACCAACTCCAGTCGCAGCTGGTTGTCACCGTCCTGCAGGTGGAAGGGCTTCTGTGGCCAAGCCAGACATGCAGCCTCCAGCCATTTGTCAAGCTGAGACTCATGTGGGCCGGTTCAGTGGGAGTGGAAGTGGACGACTGTACGGACAAGGAGGTTGGCCTTCTTTTGTCACCACATGCAGTGTGTTAGTCAACAAATGGCATCATAAAATGCATTATTGGGTAGAGAAACTACAGCAGGTAGTGTGTTTTTGTGTGTGATGGTGTTGTGGATTACTGCCCCCAGGGCGAAGGGACCGCACCCATCTTGTGGACGGTGCTGCAGGAGTGGCGGACTCGCATTGTGAAAGGCAGCTGTAACCCTTTATTTGGAGACCAATTCAGCTGCATCATGCAGGAAGACAAGGAGCTTCATCACATTAACCTCAAGATGGAGGTACTGCAGTGAACTAATCCTTGTCCATTTATCTCTTGAATCATTGGAAAGGATTTTTGACAGTTGACGAAGTAAGCTTCAAGTAGAGAAAACTATGGAGCCAAAACCAGGTCAAAAGTTTTGATCATTTGATAAACAAATGTGAACCTAAAAGTTGGGTTGTTGAACATTGAAAAATACAACAATGTATTCAAAATAAAAATAAGTGGACGAAAATATAGTTTTGACTCAAGTATATTCTTTTTTTTTTTTTTTTAATCTTCACGTATATATATTTTTGATATTCGGTGTATTGTATTTTTGGTTGCAGATTTTATGTTTTCAGATTCAAATCTTGAATTTTCACTTTCAGATCTTATTTTCGCGTTTGGATCTTTTTTTGGCGTAGGGGACGGGGCATCAACTGGGAGGGGCGTGAAACTTTCAGGTTCACATGTGTTTTTCAAATGAACAAAACTTTTGACCTGTATTTGGCTCCATAGAAAACGCAATGTTATACAGTTGTGGTCAAAAGTTTACATACACTTGTAAAGAACATAATGGGGGCTGACGATTTTAGGTTATCTTGAAGAATTGCAGGAATCAGGAAACATTGCCAAAATATGTCAAACATGCAAGGAATTTGTCTTGACGGTTGGTGCGTGGCAGTAGACAGTGTGACAATGGACAAGACAGCAGTGCACAAGTAATAAAATGAAATGCTAATGCAATGGGTTAGTAGAATAAGGCTATGGGTTAGTATAAATTAAGAGAATAAAGTTAAAAATATTTAAAAAGTTACAAAATATAAAAAAATAAAGTGCACTATTCAACAAGTGAGAAAGTGACGAGTTACAACAAAGTAATGAGTGAAAAATTACAGTTAAAGTGACATGTGCAGTAGGAAGCAGAAAGACCGGTGGAATGTTAGTGTGTTAGTCAGTCAGTGGGGGACCGGGCTCTGTTGAACAGAGCCCGACTGCCGATGGGAAGAAACTGTTCGTGTGGCGGGAGGTCTTAGCCCTGATGGACCTCAGCCTGCCAGATGGAAGGGGCACAAACGGTTTTTGTCCGGGGTGAGAGGGGTCGACTACCATCTTTTTAGCTCGCTTCAGAGACCTGGAAGCGAACAAGTCCTGCAGGGACGGCAGATTGCAGCCGATCACCCTCTCTGCAGAGCAGATGACCCTCTGCAGCCTGCCCTTGTCCTTGGCTGTGGCTGCAGCGTACCAGACGGTGATGGAGGAGCAGAGGATGGACTCGATGATGGCCGTGTAGAAGTGGACCATCATCGTCTTTGGCAGGTTGAATTTCTTCAGCTGCCTCAGGAAGAACAACCTCTGCGGAGCCTTCTTGGTGATGGAGCTGATGTTTAGCACCCACTTGAGGTCCTGGGTGATGATGGAGCCCAGGAAACAGAAGGAATCCACAATAGTGACGGGGGAGTCACACAGGGTGATGGGGGAGGGTGGGGCTCTGTTCCTCCTGAAATCCACAACCATCTCCACTGTCTTTAGAGCGTTGAGCTCCAGGTTGTTCTGACTGCACCAGGACACCAGATGGTCGGACTCCCACCTGTAGGCGGACTCATCACCACCAGAGATTAGTCCAATGAGGGTGGTGTAATCCGCAAACTTCAGGAGCTTGACGGACTGGTGACTGGAGGTGCAGCTGTTGGTGTACAGGGAGAAGAGCAGAGGGGAGAGAACGCAGCCTTGGGGGGGAACCGGTGCTGATGGTCCGAGAGGCTGAGACATGTTTCCCCAGCTTCACGTGCTGCTTCCTGTCAGACAGGAAGTCTGTGATCCACTTGCAGGTGGAGTCGGGCACGTGCAGCTGGGAGAGTTTGTCCTGCCGCAGAGACGGGATGATGGTGTTGAAGGCAGAGCTGAAGTCCACAAACAGGATCCTGGCGTAGGTTCCTGGGGAGTCCAGATGCTGGAAGATGTAGTGGAGGGCCATGTTGACAGCATTGTCCACAGACCTGTTGGCTCTGTAGGCGAACTGCAAGGGGTCCAGGAGGGGGTCGGTGAGGGACTTCAGGTGGGTCAGGACTAGCCTTTCAAAAGACTTCATGACTACAGAGGTTAGGGCGACGGGCCTGTAGTTATTGAGTCTTGTGATCCTGGGCTTCTTGGGAACAGGGATGATGGTGGAGGTCTTGAAGCAGGCTGGTACGTGGCATGTCTCCTCCAATTTGAAGGTAACCCTCCTTCTTCATTATCCCATTTACTCTCTGTAAAGCACTTGTTCCATTGGCAGCAAAACAGCCCCACAGCATAATACTACCACCACCGTGCTTGACGGTAGGCATGGTGTTCTTGGGGTTAAAGGCCTCACATTCAAATTCTTCAAGATAACCTAAAATCATCAGCCCGACGGTTGGGTCTTGTGCGCAGTTGGCTGTTCCAACAGGACAATGGCTCCAAACACACATCAAAAGTGGTAATAGAATGGCTAAATCAGGCTAGAATTAGGGTTTTAGCATGGTGTTCCAAAGTCCTGACTTAAATCCCATTGAGAACATGTGGACAATGCTCCATGTCAAAAAGCCATCACATTTAACTGAACTGCACAAATTCTGTCAAGAGGAGTGGTCAAAGATTCAACGAGAAGCTTGCCAGAAGCTTGTGGATGGCTACCAATAGCGCCTAATTGAAGTGAAAATGGCCAAGGGACATGTAACCAAATATTAGCACTGCTGTAGGTATATTTCTGACCCAGCAGATGTCACTTTTTCTGTCAACCCGTAATAAAGTCATAAAAGAACAAAACTTCACGAATGTGTTTTGTGACAAAGAAGTATCTGTTTCAATCAGTCAGAGAAAAATCAGACTTGTAGAAATAACTGGAAACTCAAGAGAGCCATGACATTATGTTCTTTACTTTAAGTGACCACAACTGTATGTGTGATGGTGTAATTAAACTTGTCTCTCTGTCACGTGTGCACGTCAGGTGAGGCACTTTGATAAATTCTCTAGACACACAGTGTTGGGAGAGGTGAGGGTTCCTCTAGGGCAGCTCAACATCTCCTATCCTCTTGAGCTACAGGAAGATCTGAAGACACCCCAGAAGGTACAGTATGACACCATGTGTGCAATATGTATTCATATTGATTGATATATTGGTCTTTTTATTTATTTATATCGTTATTTCCATTTTCCGTAAATACCACTACCACCACTAAATCAAAGAAATTCTAGAGCCAATGAAATCTTTTAAATTACATGTTTACTGTAGAAAGTTTCTTTTACTATTCTTTATATATTCTATTTTATAACATCCTATAGAAACAAAGCTTATGCAGAATTGTTTCTTTTCCCATTATCGGGACAGGATCTCGTAGGAGAGGTGCTCCTCACTTTAAAGTTTCTTCCCACCTCTCAGAGGCTTGAAGTTGGACTACTTAAGGTCAGAACGGTCCTCACAGAAATATACTCGGATAGAGGTAAATATCAACCACCAATATAAGATTCAAGACATGGTCATAGTGTTGTCATACATGTTGTCCCTGATGTGCCTTCTCTGTGTTGTACAGCCCTATATGCCAGGATCAGTGTGCAGTGCAACCAGCACAAATTGAGGTACCAAAAAACCTCTGCTGTGGCCCATTCACTGGTAACTGTCTTCAATGAGGTCCTCATGTTCTCCCTGCCAGAGTGTCCCCTGGAGCAGTGTAAAATATCAGTTTCTGTGTACGAGACTCACATAACTAGGAAATTATCCAAAAATCTAATTGGACAGTTGACTTTGGGTAAGGAAAGAAATTCACAGGACAAGCATTGGAGCTTAATGATGTGCTCCGTTCGCCAGCCAATAGCAAAGTGGCATGGCATACTGATTTGACTCATATGTAAATACTCACCGGCAGGGGCTTGATGTTCACACCTGTTTGCATATGACTGAAAGCTGTATTGCTCGTGTGTCGGCCTGAGGGATCTGTGCCTGTGTAGCAGTATGCCAAACATAAACACCTCTCCTTCCTGACGCCTTAGTGGTAGAAATATCTTTCTGTTCCAATCCGTTCAGCTCAACGGCCAAAATGAAACTTTAGGTTGGTCATTCTACAGGAACATTTTTTTTTCTGTTGTCAACCGCTCTTTTTAACTCCAATTCTCATCACATTGAAAGAGCCGGATTGGACGTTGGCACTCCTTATTGCTGAAGATTACTTTTTTTACTCAATCTGTGCATAACTGTGTTGTTTGTGTCACAGTCAGCTTTTATATCTACACTTCTTTTTTGCTTGTTCGAAAATCACGTCATTCTGCATTAATAAATCTCTATATCACAGGTCTGTTGTTCAGTCAATACAAGCACTGTTAATAGGAATGTTAAACAATGGTTTATGTAAGGAAAAGTAAAAAATAACTAGCTTCTACCGAAAAGCTGGTGCACCGGTAGCAGATTTCCTTACGGTATGAGTTGTACCGGTGTACATCCGTAACAACTGATGTTACTCTTCAGCAGGGAGTGGGTTTTCTTTTGCACCAGACTGAAAAATGCCGCGGTTGGAGCTACATATCTTCCGTGTATTGAGATAGAGTCATGGTAATATAATTTACAACAATGAATAACACTGAACACTGAAAATTGTACATTTATAAAATTGCCCGATGCAGGAGGAACAACAAGAGACTAGAGATGCACCAACACAACTTATGCCAATGAGATGAACTGTGTGCTGTTTGGATTTTATTAATTTTTTTAAATCCGGTGTAAGTTAGATCAGAAAACGATTTATTGCAAAGTTGGTCAAGCCGCTGGTATTATATATAATATATTTATATATTATCCATCCATCCATCCATTGTCAAACCGCTTATCCAGCACACAGGGTCGCGGGGGGGCTGGAGTCTATCCCAGCCAACTTCGGGCGATAGACAGGGTACATCCTGGATTTGTCGCCAGCCAATGGCAGGGCCAACACAGAGACATACAACCATTCACACTCACATTCACACATCTACGGGCAATTTAAAGTCCCCAATCAACCTGATCCCCAGAGCATGTCTTTGGCCTGATCCTAGATGCTCTATTTATGTAAACAACTGCAGGGGCCTCTACCTGGTGGTTGGGGGTCATATTTCACTTATCATTACATCCCTCTTTCTTAAGATGTATGCCATTATATTCATAAACAAGCTATTCTTCCCGCACCTTCAATGTGTACTTAACAACCTGAAAGATCATTTTTTGCACCTCCAGCTTAACCACAATATTTTACTTTCAAATGACATTAGAAACATTATGTCCATATTCAAATTCAGATTATTTATCTTTTTCAAAAAAGAAACTTGTAAATTCATTGTCTTCCAAGACTCTGTCTGTGCGGTGGTTTGCGGTTACGTCTGGATCTTCTCAACATAGGTATGTTATTCTGCTCATCTGGTCCGCATCTGTCTGTCACAGGTGATTGATTGCTGCAAACTCCTTTGATCTTGCCTCAAGATTTTGCCATCTTCCGTTCTGATGGTGTAGGTCCATGATTTCACTTCTTCCAGAACTGCAGCACTCCTACACCAAGTGTTGGCATCTTGAATCCACAGTGTCATGTTTTGTGTAGTAGTTCCAAGCTATATGATATTATGTGTTTGATCACACGTGTCATGGACCTGCTTGAAAGCAGTGCTATTTCTGGGTAGTTGGACAGGCTGTCGCAACTTTCTGCCATGGTTCATCAGGTAGGTTTGTGATGGTTATGGGTTTTAGACAGGTGTCACTCCTTTAGACCAACCGGGCTATGGCTGCATTGAGCCCCCGAAAGAAGGGGGATTTTATTGTATGGATGTGTAAAGCAGGAATCGCTCAGTGGTCAATGGTAGTCAGTGGTAGTTTAGAGGGCGTGATGAGCCATTTTCAACTAATGAAGAACTGATAATTCTACATTTGGAAAGATATTTCAATATTAACACCAAAAGTTTGTGCGTTTCATCACAGCACAGTAATATTATTTAGTCCATTCAGAAGGGTAGCTATGTTCTTCTACCGTCTAAAACCAACACAAAAGCATAGCTGTTTACTACATTACAGGTCATTTAGCAGACGCTTTTATCCAAAGCGACTTACATTACACTTTAAACCCGTTTTTCACATTTTTGCCCAGGGAGCAATTAGGGGTTAGGAGTCTTGCTCAGGGACACTTCGACATGGAACATGGGGCAGCCTGGAATCGAACCACCAACCTTGTGCTTCCCAGCACACCTTCTCTAACTCCTGCGCCTTCTCTAACTCTCTGCCACAAAGACCCTACTACTAGGAATACAGACATTCATAGAAAACACAGATTGAGCCAATGCTTTCTCATGTTTTACAATTCAAAAGGGCAACAGGGTATGCAGAGGTACTGTCTCAACTTGATTTGAACATTGACATTATAAAGGGTCAACAATGCCATTTCCATGTACGCTTCAACATTCGTTGCTGTCCCATGAAGCCCGGTCTTGCCTTAGTATATCTCTACTTATTAAAAATAGAACGTGGATATCAAAGTTCTCAGTCACTTATTTCTCACGAACTACAAGGCAATGGAGGAAAGAGGCATATGGCAAAATTGAGAGGGAAAACTTTTATTGTATTACTTTACAGCATATTTCACATCATATTATATGATAAGAAACCACTGATCCGGAAGTGTCCCTTACTCGGCTACTTCTTTGGCCTAAAAACACAAAATTTAATAAGATTTAAATCAAACATAATTTACAGAATCTTTCTGTCACATGAACTGGAATTGATTTTGATTGAATTGTATAGTCACCTTGCCAGTGTCACGACTTTTTGCTCTCATCTTGTTGACTTGAGACTCAGCAATGTCTGCACGCTCCTCAGCCTCTTCCAGCTCATGCTGGACCTTTCTGCACTTGGACAGATGAGTATTGGCCTGTTCCTCCTGAAATAACACAAATAGAGTTTGGAACACTTCTTAAACGTAAATGTATGGCGGAAGTATTTTTCTTAATTATATAAATATATTACCTAACTGTTTACATTGCCAAAATTCAAAACATGTAATACTCTTTTGT